GCAACTGCCCTCCCTCGTTTCCGCACAGGAAGCCCCTCCACCTACCACCTCCGATAGCCGAATCATTAGCGGAACCCAGCTGTCCTCCATGAGCAGGTTCCCCTTTCAAGTTGCTCTCGTCAAGGGTCCACAGGACACGTTATTTTGCGGCGGTACCATCATTGACTCCAGCTACGTGCTCACTTCAGGTACCAACTCTGATCTACGCCTTCTCTCTCTCTGTCTCTCTCTCTGTCTCTCTCTCTGTCTCTCTCTCTCTCTCTTTCTCTCTCTCTCTCTCTCATGAATGTGTGTGTGTGTGTGTGTGTGTGTGTGTGTGTGTGTGTGTGTGTGTGTGTGTGTGTGTGTGTGTGTCTTTTTTGTGTAATTTGTCACGGTCATTCCTTTTTTTTCGGGGGGGGCGGGAACACCCCTGGGTTTGCGATCGGTGGTGGTGAGAGCAGTGACGTGTAGCAGCATCGGGGGAGGAGACTCCATTTATTGGAGGGGAGTAGCACCTGCTGGGAACTAGGTCCAGCGTCGCATTTACAAACACCGAGGGAAAGACAAAATTCTGAGGTCATTCTGGTCGTGCTAGTATAGTTCAAGATGAATGTCGCTTCGTCCTTGTTTCTCGTCCGTGCTGTCATTCTGTCAGGCAGGATAATAGGACAAGGGAAATACTTTTCTGGATCACAATCTCTCTCTCTCTCTCTCTCTCTCTCTCTCTCTCTCTCTCTCTCTCTCTATTGGTTGAGTGGGGCGATTTACATTCCTGATTAGGCAAAAAGCACGTTTCACCTGCAGTATTTCTTCCGGGTTGTTTGCTGGTAGATTCCCGGAGGCTCCATTGGTTGAGTAATTATAATGTAATAAAGATGATATCTGTGTTTACAAAAAACGCTTTTTTTTTTATTTTTAGTAATTTGGACCATTTCTCGACTTATGCATGTCATCCTTGCACAGGGGCCATGCTAATCTTCTCTCTCTGAACCGTTCCAATTTCAATGGATGTCCCAAAGTGGTGCCTGCTCTTATCAGCACCCCTGGCATCCTACCCGGGTTGGTCGATAACCCCAACCCCAACCCCAACAACCCCCCCCCCCCCCCCCCCCATAAAAAAAACAAAAAAACACAAGAAGTTTTATGTGGACAGGGCCTGGCCTTTTTTTTGTATGTTTTGTTTCTTGTTTTCGTTTTAGGTTCCCCTCGTTTAACTGGAGCGGCCACTTCTCGGCCGAATTGAACGGCCGGTCATTATCTCTACATCCAGACTGAAAGGAGCACCAATCAGAGCTTATAATGACCGTCAGTTCTATTGGGGCGAAGACGGTAGTCATTGCTGGATGACGTGATTGGTCGCTGCAGATATTATTATGCTTATAATATGCTTCTTTTTTGTTTTTTCCTAATAATATAGTCTAGTTTTTTACATGCGAAGAAAAAAAGTATGTGCGTGTATATGACAAATATGCATTTACGACTAAATGTACTAAACGTGCATTTACGTGTAGACGTGTGCTTTTTTTTTTTTTCTTTCTAATAATATAGTCTATTTTACATTCGAAGAAAAAAAGTATTTGCGTATAAATGACAAATATGCATTTACCTCAAATGCAGTAAATGTGCATTTACGTGTAGACGTTTTTTTTTTTTTTTTTTTTTTTTTTTTTTTTTTTTTTTTTTTTTTTTTTTTTTTCCCTACGTACATATCTTAGGATCGACCAGCCGGTTAAAGAAAGAGGGGAAAAGGATAAAGAAATCGACGAGCCGACGAATGTCGCTCTAGCATTGGCTGCAATTCTGCTTAGTAGGGCAGAGAATGCTTTTTTGAAAAGCACACACACAAAAAAAAAAAAACAGAAGAAAAAAAAAGAAAAGAACCGAAGCGAGTGTGCAGCCTTGCAGCCTGTACTGTATGGCATCGTTGTTAGTTCTTAAGTCCCACGTACACCGTTGAGCCGGTTGAGCCAGTTCAACGTACGTTGAACTAGCTCAACGCTGTCTCTTATACACATCTAGATGTGTATAAGAGACAGAGCCAGTTCTACGTTGAACTAGCTCAACGTGTGTGACACCACGCGACGTCTGAGATGCATGGGGAGCTGCACATCCAGCGGTTGTTCTTTTTTTTTTTTTTTTTTTTTTTAATAATTTGGACCATTTTTCTCGATTTATGCGTGTCATCCTTGCGCAGGGGCCATGCTAATCTTCTCTGCATCGTTCCAATTTTAACGGATGTCCCGAAGGACCCAGCGGTTGTTCTTAGGTGTATAAAATGCAAAGACTTTCGGTTTTGTTTTTTTGGTTGAAGAAAGGTGCTGAAAAATCCCTCCGCCCGAATACAATGCCCCCTACCCTGCCCATCTTTCGTTTTGAACTTCATACCCCACTTGGATTGGAGTATGGTTTCAACGCCGAATCAACGGTGCTTGTGCCATCATGTCCTTCTGTGGGAGGACACTCTGACAGCCGTGGGAGGACACTCTTGACTGAGAGTGCTCATGCTGTGTTTGGCTGCGCAGCCCCAAACTCGATTCTGCGAATGCACCAAGCCAGGAGTACTGTCTACGTTCATTTCATGTTGTAGTGAGTCCCTGTCTCGGACGTTGCGTAGTATGCGGAGCCTTTCACTGAGGGTTGTTGTATTTTCCATTTTACTTCTTAGAAAATACGGACAAAGACTTCAGTAGCATTTGGTATTCATTGTTTTTTGGGAACTAGGGGGAAAAAAGAAGAAGGAGAAGAAGAAGAAGAAGAAGAAGAAGAAGAAGAAGAAGAGAAGAAGGAAGAGGAAGAAGAAGAGGCCGATCGCTCAGCGTCAATGCATCAGAGAAAGATAGTACACACCTGCATAGTCGCAGCTGCTCAGGAAGACGCGCTCATACCCGGGCGGACGCGTTTCACCTGGGGGCGCACCAGCACTGATCAAGGGGGCTGTCCACAACCGGTGCGCCAGATAAAGAAGAAGAAGAAGCAAACTTCTTCTTCGTCTTCTTTGTCTTCTTCTTCTTCTTCTTCTTCTTCTTCTTCTTCTTCTTCTTCTTTTCTTCTTCTTCTTCTTCTTTTTCTTGCGGAGAACTTCTACTTCTTCTTGCGGAGTTCTTCTTCTTCTTCTTCTTCTTTTTTCTTCTTCTTCTTCTTGTTGTTGCTTCTTTCGGAGAACTTCTTCTTCTTCTTCTTCTTCTTCTTGTTCTTCTTCTTCTTCTTCTTCATGGAGAAATGAAATGAAGATGAAGAATCAAAGAAAATTTTGGTCTTAGGGGGGACGGACGTTAAAATTGGAGGGATACAGAGAAAGAGAAAATTAGCATGGCCTCTGAGCAAGGATCACCCGCATTAATCGACAAATCATACAAAAAAACATGGGAATATACAATCCTACCTGTGTATGTGTGTGTGTGCGCCTGTGGGGCCAATTAATCAATCAGTCAATCAATCAGTCAAAAAAAAAATCAATAAAAAAAAAAAAAAAAAAAAAAAAAAAATCTTTTTTTTTTTTTCGAAGTACAGAACAGCGGGGTACGTTATATATTATTATTTTTTATTTTTTTTTTATTTTTTATTTGTACTATTATTATTATTATGATGTGTATCTCTCCGATCTTGATGGCTGTCTGATGTCGCCAAGTACAAGTTCCAATCAGATTCTTTATCTTTTTCTCGCTGTCGGTTTTGAGGGGCGAAAAGAGATTTTGGAGGGGGGTGAAAAAAGGTTTTTGATGAACGCGTTGTTAGTTGTCAATTTGTAATAACACACTTAGTCTTCCTCAGCAATTGTCAGTCACATATCACCGGTGATAATATATATACAGTGACATGGAGCGATCGGATATGCGAAGTCATCAGAATTTGAAGCCGTTTTTTAGAGCCGGTGTTGTAAGGGCACATATCAATTTCATTCAGATTTGAAGGCTTATAACCAAAAATTAAAGCCGTTTTTATAAGGGTGTACGTATCACCGGTAAAAATATACAGTGACATGGAGCGAGCGGATGCGAACCAATCAGAATTTGAAATGATGTGCATTTCGATATTATGAGGAAATTCAATCTGAATGCGTTGAGGGAGGAGCGCTATGTGGGTAGTTATAGGAATCCCCGAGATGAGGTGGACATGGTTAAAAAAAAAAAAAAAAAAAAAAAGGAATAAAGGAGCTGTACATGTGGTGGGCCCATGTAAGACCGATCGGGTGGATGTCCATCCCACCCGCCGCCGTAGGATAAGCGAGGGGTAGAATATGTGTCGCGAGAAAAAAAAAGAAAGGAGCTGTACATGTGGTGGGCCCATGTAAGACCTATCGGGTGGATGTCCATCCCACCCGACGCCGTAGGATAAGCGAGGGGTGGAATATGTGTCGCGATGTGTAAAGTAGGCCCTGTCTGGTTAATGCCGACGTGGACGTGACAGAGATCGTCATTCAGTTTCTCATTTCGAGGGAAAAAAATAGTTGTGAATGAATCCTGACGTGGATCTGGACCGGATCCGAGTTAATGCTGCTGAACTGGAAGGGGTGAAGAGATATCGCGAAATGCGGAGCCGGACAGTGGGGACCACAGCTGGATGAATGCCCAGCTGGACAGGAAGAGATCCCGACAAACACTGACTCAGCTAGAGCTGTAAAATATGTGCCGCGACGTGTGGAGAAGGCCCTGCCTGTTCAATGCTGACGTGGACGTGACGGAGATCGTCATGCAATTTCTCATTTCGAAGGCAAACAGGTGTGACTGAATTCTGAGGTGGATCTGGACCAGATCCGGATTAAGGCTGCTGAGCTGGATGGGGGAAGAGATATAGAGAAATGCGGAGCTGGACCGATGGGGACCACAGCTGGATGAATGGCCAGTTGCACAGGAAGAGATCCCGACGGAAGGAGACCAGATCTGGGTGAATGCCCAGCTGAACAGGAAGGGATCCCGACGAAGGCTTATAGCTGGAAGGAGATCGGAGCAGGCTGAATGGTGAGCTGGACAGGAAGGGATCCCGATCATTGCTGAGCTGGAAGGAGACCTTGGCTGGATGCATGCTGAGCTCGATGGGAAGAGATAGATGCTGATCTAGAGTCAGAGAGAGCACGCGGAACGCGGACGATGTCCTTATACATACGTAATATGGTGATTTGGATGAATGGCGACGTGGACGTGGACCAGAGTATGATGATGATCTGCATGAATGCTGACTTCAACGTGAACCAGAGTATGCTAATCTGGAGGCCGAGAGTGAGTGAGAGCATTCTAAACCGGGAAGAGATACCCCAGAGATGCTGATAGGGAGACAGATGCATAGATGGTGAGCTGGATGAAGGCTGACGTGGACGTGGGATCTGGAGATAGAGATGTCGAACGCGGACCCAAAAAAAGAAGAAAGAAAAAAGAAAAAAAGCGATAGATGCTAGGTGCTGTGGATGAACATGCTTACGTGGACGTGGACTAGAGCGGCATGACAGGCGCAAGTTTTTTTTTTTTTTTTTTTTTTTAATTTAAAGACGCGCCGCGCAAATTGAGATCCAATACTGTTGTATTACACAGTGGGCCTTGCTCCACCACTGATCAATGTGAAAAAAAAGAAGAATCATTTTTCTACTAGAGCGTGCATTGGAAAGATGCAGCTCCATAACTTGTCTTTTGTGCGTCTGGTGAGTGGTAGAGCCAGGCCCAGTGTGTCTTTTTTTTTTTTTTTTTTTTTTTGGACCATTTCTC